TTCAAGTCTTTTGCGAGCACCCTGCGACGGGAGGAAAAGTGCGTCGAGCACGTTACCCCGGCGGGTGGTCGTTGATAGGGTCGACACGCGTGCGAATTGATCAAGCACTGAGCGTAGACCATGGTCGAGGCAATGAAGGGCCGCAGTCAGCATATCTGCTGGAATCGGCGAATCCTCTTCATAGCCCACGGCCAAATATTCCGTGAGAAGAAGTAAGAAAGACGCTGATTTCAAACCGAAGCGTGAAGCTGCGTCTATATTCCTCAAAACATCTTCAAGCTTACCCCGTGTTTTGTCCACAAAGGGCCGCTTGGAAGACGAACCACTCTCATCGGCCGCAAGTTTATCTTTTGCGGCGTCGGGGATGGTAGGCGGAGTGAAGAACTTCACATGATCCTCAGCCGGGAAACGAAAATAATCCCGTTCCCGACTGAGAAACGGCCGCCATTTATCAGTTGACATGATGCTGTCGATACGTTCCACGCATACTTGATCTAAAGGAAGTACGGGGAATATCTTATCGCTGCTAGATGCGGAGCCCGTCCTTCGCTTGAAAGAATTATGATCGGGCGGAGGGGGCTCATCAGCGGAGGGTAAATGAAGTACTCTTATCATATCCCTCTGTACTAAACGGAGCTCCGTTTCAGAGATAGACAGCCGCTGTAAACGGTCTGGTTCCTCGTCATCATTGGATGACTCAGCCGATTGTGAGGGCCGAGTTGACTCCGGTGAACGAACGCCGTCTGGAGGGGCGAGTTGTACCGAACCACGCGGTAGTGGCTGGACAACTTCCTCCGAGTCAAACTGCAAAGATGGATGAATGCTCAATACAGGCGGGGATCCCAGCGTACGCGGTAGGTCCCGCGGCCTCTGATCCCCCCAACCGTGGCCCACGGCCGATGCATGCGAGACGCTCGCTGCAGGCCGGGCCTCCGGTGTACGGTCAACCACGTGCGGTATGTCCCGCTGTGCTTGGGCCACCCAACCGTGACCAACGAACGACGACTGTGAAGCCCTCACCGCAGGCGGGGACGCCGAGCACGACTAATTGTGTGCGGTATGTCCCTCTGTTCCCGGGCCACCCAAGCGTGACCGGTGACTGAAGACTGTGATGCGGGCCCAACGACCGATGGTTGTGGGCTGTAGTCCACTGCTGCAGGGGGGCCCCCAATAGGGCCCGCCCGGCGGCCTGCCGACATAGCCGATAGCGTATCGGAAATCGACTGAAAAGCCAGCAGGAAATTTGCTCTAGAAACCGCGTCCTCCCCCCGGGAGCGTTTGCCCCGTTGGAATGGTCAGAGGAGTCGTCAGAACCCGAAGAAGAACGGTGCGATCGACGTGCAGCCTTCTTCTTCTTATTCTTCTTTTTAGAAGAACGGCCCCGAGGTGTGTCCGAGGAAAAATCGGAAGACACCTGGGGCACCAGGACCCCCGAACAACGGAAAAAATCCGATGACGAGAGTAGTCCCTCTGAGCGAGCTAGCACGGGGGCCGTCGGCCCGGGATCCCCGGGGCGACCGGCTCCGTATCGCTCATAATGCACCCGGCCGACAGCGCCTCAGGCCCCGTGGGCTGAGCGAGCGCTGGACGGACCGGTAGCCCGTGCAATAGCCCATCCCGACAACCAGTGGTGTTCGGCACTGTGTCGGGAGGGCACGGGTGACTAGAGCCCACCGAAGTGTGACGGCTAGTCCCCTCGGGCTGCCCCGTGATCGGGGGAGGGCTTGGTACCAAAGCGGCGCTCGTTGCCGAGCCACGCTTGCCCTGACGGCCCTTCTTAGGCTTTGCTCCGGCACAGGAGATATGTTTTAGGGGAACCTTGCCGGAGTGTGCCTTTAGTTTGGGTGTTCCGCCCGAGTTGACCGGAGAAGGTGACCGAGGTCCCCTTAACTGATCGGCGGAACTGCCAACTCCCCCAGCCGACTGTGGCTGAGGGTGCCGGACGAGAGACTGCTGCCGCGGTAACGTCGGAGCGTTAACGGCAGAGTCCCCCGAGAACTCTGTCTGTCCCGTGGGAGAATTATTCCCTCCGGTTAGTGACAGATCGGCCCTCCCCAAACGTTTCATATTTATGAAATAAATGAAACCAAGAAGATGATGAAACTCTACAAACTAATGATTACTAACTCTTTTATTAAATACTTCTCTTAAACGCAAAAAAGGGTAGTAAATGACGAGGCAAACAGCGAGCTATTTCACGCACGTCCTACCCGACCTGCCGCTAAGAGAAAAGAGGACGCTCACGAGGCACGCATGCCGCGGGGTATTATGGGTAGGGCGCCAGAGGGCGCTATTGTATATAACTCTTAGCGGAAAATACCTGCCGGTAGGGGGAATATGCATAAGTAGTATTGCTCTACAGGTAAGTAGAGTGAAGTAGACTTGTAAAGTAATGGAACCAGTCTAACTGGCCTGCACCTGTCCATGAACATGTAACCAATAGTAAACAAAATTTGGACTGAAAAAAAATTGGTAAATTTGGAGCAGTAGTTGAAAAATAGCAATCGTTGCTAAAATGGTCAAAACAGCTCAGTGTTTGTCCACAAACACACTTCTAGTTGGCTGTTTCGGCAAACTTGCCTTTGTTTTTGTAAAGATTTTTGTTTGTTTAAGTCGTTTTTGCCCATAGCATTTGTACACGCTTTTTTTTGTGCCCGGCACTTTTGGCAATAAAATCAATCTGATTGCCTTTATACTTGGCACACACTTAGCCCAGCACCTGCAGATGTGTGTCGAACATTGACGCCATCATGACGTTGTCTCATGACGTCACAACATAGGTACATATTTTGAAGGTCTATATCTCCGGAACTACTGTTCTGATTTGGGTGAAATTTGGTATGTACCTAGACCGAGAAATGTTATAGGTGAAAAATGGAGTGACGTCACGATAACGTCATTATGGGTCACGTAATGTCACATAAATATTAATAGATTTAATATTTGAAAATCAATATACAATCAACAATGGGAGATCTGAACATGACTTTTGTGGGAATTGATAGAATAAGACACGCTCTTCATTTTTGGTAGAGCGTGCAAATTCACGTGACCCCTCCTTCTGGTTGAACCCGGAAGTGCCTGGTAGTTTAAAATTGGTGAAAGATGTGAACTTGCTTTCAACGACGTATGTTCTGGCTAAGTTGTTCTTTACAAAAAAAATAACACTAATGTCATAAAATGTTAAAGCACCCTCTAGCGGCATGTTGTTATACATGATTATAGATGAAAATTGGTGACGTCATCATGATGTCATCATGTGACATCATAATTCAAAGTCCTATGAGAATGTAATCACATATTTATATGCCACCATTTATTATAAACAGAACTACACATCCTTCCTTGATGGAATTATACTTGAAACTTTACATGTCACATGTCACAAAAAAAAGATGCTGAAACAGCCCTGTGTGTGTCCACAAACGTAAGTCTAGTTTTTTCCTGGTTTTTTTTTCTTCTGCATGTCTACCATCCAAAATTATATATACTTTGTACATTTTTTTTCTCGTAGGCACTTTGGGCACAAAATAAAGTCATATGACATTGAAACTGAACATAGTTAAAAAGAACATAGCAAAGGTCTTTTTTCATGAACATAGACGCAGTGATGACGTCATCATGGGACATGTGGCGTCATCTTAAACGTGCACACTTTAAGTCCCTTTATCTCATGAATGGCAAGTCCATGAACATTTTTGTTTTGCTGGGCTTATATAATATCACAATGTTATAATTGTCTACATGATTTTTCATAAGATTCACTAAAAACCTAAAAGATAGTCTAGTCGCAAAGATGCACATGTATAGTCTGCATTTATACCAACACTTGCTTTTCCACACTGTGATTTCAGTTTTGGTTGTTGTAAACGTATTGTGGCACTTAAATTTCCTGGCCTATATTAATATTTCCAAAACGACATCCATGGATTGTATGTTGAGTGCCCTCTACAATATCTGAGGAACAAAATTACTACATTCAAGATCCTATTAGTATCAGGTTGGTTAGGTAATGGATGTATGTGTAAAGTTTGAAAAACTCTGATTTCTTTAAAAAATAACTTACCATACTCTTTGTGTATCTTTATTACTTTAAAATCTCCTCAGACATCTTTTCTGTCACCACAACTTTCTTACTTATGCCATCTCCAACCGTCCAAAATTGAATCGCAACAAAAAGTTAATAATTTTAATAAATGTTAATAAATTTAAAAAATGCGGAAAAGCTGCATGTTCTGTTTTCAATGGACACACATCTAGTTATGTAACTCAGTTGTAAATATTTTAAGCAAAAACAGAAACAGTTTGAATTGCAACGAATTATTAGTATTATTGTAGTAAAATGCTTTCGTTTTCAAGTTATATTCATTTATCATTGCACTTCCGATAATCCCAGAAGTAATGGGCCAGCAGTTGACCGGGAATTTGACCGGGAATATGCCTGGGAATCAAAATATTGCCCAAGGCAGTCAATTCAATTGAGGAATAGTTGAGGAATAGTTTGACTAGCCCGCTGCTGTTTTGACTAGCATTTGGCTAGCGGGCTACTGCTAATTTCAAACCCTGCACATCTTTGGACTAGCATTTGGCTAGCGGGCTACTGCTAATTTTGAACCCTGCACATCTTTGGACAAGGGTTCATGTGTGTACAAGGTTTCATCCCATCCCTCGAACCATTTGGGTCAAATTATGTTTCCTATCAACACTTATTTCAGTATTTTGAATCCTCCAAACATTGACCTCCAACTATCTCCAGAGGTAATGCTGAAGCGATTTAACGGACATGACAACAAAAATTTACTTCATCAAGCCATGATCTATCAGAGGACAAAGTATGAACGTGATTCTTTTTTTAGTTCATAAGTTATTTCATAGTAATATTATCTGAAAAAGCAACTAAACAGTGGATGGACCTTTGGCCAGAGAAATAGTAAAGTAAGGTTTAAACAGTAAGTCAGTCTGACAGGAGATGTAGAATATATACAGCTATACATACTGACCTTACAAGCTGTTTATCCAAGGAGATTTTGCAAACCATGTATGCAAGAGAGATCAAATCATCTTCATGCAGTGATGGATTCCTAAATATCAAAAGTTATATTTTGTTCATGTTAATACATTGTTAAACTTTGAAAATTCAAGCATTCTTTTAAAAGTAATATATACCATTTGCAGACTTCAAAAATGAAATGGCCTAATTGCTGTGAAATAGCTTACTTGCTAAAGGTAAAGGTAAGCGAGACTTCCCTTCTCCCACGAAGTGGTAAAGGCCACTTCACTGCTGCAGGCAAGTCGCTGGCTTCGCAGGCGATCAATTTGTGAACAATCAACTTGTTAACATACACACCCCTAGCATATTATAGTGTAGCGGTGATTCTTCCAAATCTGCAGGGATTTCTATTCTAATAAGAAAATAGTCACCTCCGATACTTACAAATGCACAAGAAAAGAACATTGCGTCACCATGCACGCATGGGTACTAAGGTACTAAATTCGGTCCTATTAGTTTCCAAATCTTCATCAATGATGATGACGCACATGGTTCCTCCTCTGCTTATTGGGAATATGTCCTGCATGATGGTTGGTCAGCATGTGGGATTTATGACTGAGACATGTCCAAAAATGTGAGCTGTAATGTTGAAGTACTGCATGTGAATTCTCGTTTCAGTCAGATTGCATGGTGTGTTCTTATTAAGCAATATTCTGAGAACTCCAAAAAGACAATTTCACAGCTAATATTGAAAATTAGTTGTGGGCTGAACATGGATCTTTGGTCTTTCACTTAATTAAGAGCTGTCTTCATAAAGTGCCAAAGACTATTTCAGAAATCTCTCCTTCTCATGTTCTATAATTTGAAGTTTTTAATTTCAAGTTTTAATATCAGCTTCCCATTTCTCAACAAGATAATAGCATTCAAACCAAAATATCCAAAATCTGATTTTTTTTAACACATATGAGGTTTCCTCCCTCCCTTTGCTGCTGCTACTGTTCCGCACACGGTGGAATACATCAAGAAGATAATAATGGTGGATTCCTACCGCAGCGGTGGGCCAAATTTACCCCTGTTCAACTGAGACCGAGCAACCTTAGCCAGGCTTGTGCTGGGGCCATGGTCGTCGGGAGAAACAGAGACACACACTGTTGGAGATTTACAATTTGTTCCTCCGTAGGCCGAACCAGTCCCTTCTGGAGATCGAGAGACGCTCCCAGAAAGATTGGGGATTGGGATGGATGTGGATGGGATTTCTCGGCGTTGATAATAAACCCGAGGTCCGCCGCTAGACACCAAATCAGATTGAGTGCCGCCGACGCGGCTGCCTGAGATTGAGCAATAATGATCCAATCGTCCAGATACCGTGAACTCGTACTGGACGTTATCGTACTGAAAACGAAGAAACTTCCAGTGGTCTGGTCTGACAGGAATGTGTAGATATGCATCTTTCAGATCTAGACTGGCTCCCCACGCAGGTGCATGGATCGATTGGAGTATGATGTTGAGCGTATCCATGCGAAAACGTCTTGGCCGAATAAATTTGTTGAGGGGTTTTAGATTTAAAATCAGGCGCCACATGCCAGCCTCCTTCTTGGGTACCAGGAAGAAGGTCGACATGAAGCCCGACCGCGTCTCCCCCGGAGGGAGTGGGCAAATTGCCCGTTTCCCGAGGAGGGAATTGATCTCTCCTTCGAGGGAGAGACGTTTGGTAGGATCAGACGGAACTACCGTCGGTCGAACAATCATGTCCGAGGGGGGGGGGGGGGTGCTCGAGAACGATCGAGTGCGTACCCGCACCCGATCGTGTCTAGCACCCACCGGTCGGACGTAATTAAGCCCCAGGACCCCGCAAAGTCTCGGAGACGGCCTCCCACGGGTCCGACGGCGGGAGGCCGCCACGAGTCTACTTAGTCACTTGGGCCGGTGCCCGGAAACCACGGCCGGATTGGGGCCGTTGTTGTCCAGAGAACGTGCGGGCCCGCGTGGCGCGCGCACCGGAAGTATTGTCCGTGCGGCCACGAAAACCACCGCAACCAGATTTCAGAGGTTTGCGGCGGGGAATGACAAATGTTTTACCCCTACCCCGCTGTTGTTTGGACGCCGGTGGTTGAGGCTTCTTGAAGTTGATTTTCTCCGTAGCCTTCAGACGTTTGGCCTCATCTCGCATCTGATCTTCGAATTTACCGGCAAATAGATCCGGGCCCGTCAAGGGGAGATCTTCAAGTCTTTTGCGAGCACCCTGCGATGGAAGGAAAAGTGCATCGAGCACGTTACCCCGGCGGGTGGACGTTGATAGGGTCGACACGCGTGCGAATTGATCAAGCACTGAGCGTAGACCATGGTCGAGGCAATGAAGGGCCGCAGTCAGCATATCTGCTGGAATCGGCGAATCCTCTTCATAGCCCACGGCCAAATATTCCGTGAGAAGAAGTAAGAAAGACGCTGATTTCAAACCGAAGCGTGAAGCTGCGTCGATCTTCTTCAAAACATCTTCAAGTTTACCCCGTGTTTTGTCCACAAAGGGCCGCTTGGAAGACGAACCACTCTCATCGGCCGCAAGTTTATCTTTTGCGGCGTCGGGGATGGTAGGCGGAGTGAAGAACTTCACATGATCTTCAGCCGGGAAACGAAAATAATCCCGTTCCCGACTGAGAAACGGCCGCCATTTATCAGTTGACATGATGCTGTCGATACATTCCACGCATACTTGATCTAAAGGAAGTACGGGGAATATTTTATTGCTGCTAGATGCGGAGCCCGTCCTTCGCTCGAAAGATTTATGGTCGGGCGGAGGGGGCTCATCAGCGAAGGGTAAATTAAGTACCCTCATCATATCCCTCTGTACTATTAAAACGGAGCTCCGTTTCAGATATAGACAGCCGCTGTAATCGGTCTGGTTCCTCGTCGTCATCGGATAACTCAGCCGATTGTGAGGGCTGAGTTGACTCTGGTGAACGATAGCCGTCTGGAGGGGCGAGTTGTACCAAACCACGCGGCAGTGGCTGGACAACTTCCTCAGAGTCAAGCGGCATGGATGGATGAATGCTCAATACAGGCGGGGATCCCAGCGTACGCGGTAGGTCCCGTGGCCTCTGATCCACCCAACCGTGGCCCACGGCCGATGCATGCGAGACGCTCGCTGCAGGCCGGGCCTCCGGTGTACGGTCAACCACGTGCGGTATGTCCCGCTGTGCTTGGGCCACCCAACCCTGACCTAGCACGACGACTGTGAAGCCCTCACCGCAGGCGGGGACGCCGGAGCACGACTAATTGTGTGCAGTATGTCCCTCTGTTCCCGGGCCACCCAAGCGTGACCGGTGACTGAAGACTGTGATGCGGGCCCAACGACCGATGGCTGTGGGCCGTAGTCCACTGCTGCAGGGGGGCCCCCAATAGGGCCCGCCCGGCGGCCTGCTGACATAGCCGATAGCGTATCGGAAATTGACTGAAAAGCCAGCAGGAAATCTGCTCTAGAAACCGCGTCCTCCCCCCGGGAGCGTTTGCCCCAGCGGGACCGGTCAGAGGAGTCGTCAGAACCCGAAGAAGAACGGTGCGATCGACGTGCAGCCTTCTTCTTCTTATTCTTCTTTTTAGAAGAACGGCCCCGAGGTGTGTCCGAGGAAAAATCGGAAGACACCTGGGGCACCGGGACCCCCGAACAACGGAAAAAATCCGATGACGAGAGTAGTCCCTCTGAGCGAGCTAGCACGGGGGCCGTCGGCCCGGGATCCCCGGGGGCGACTGGCTCCGTATCGCTCATAATGCACCCGGCCGACAGCGCCTCAGGCCCCGTGGGCTGAGCGAGCGCTGGACGGACCGGTAGCCTGTGCAATAGCCCATCCCGACAACCAGTGGTGTTCGGCACTGTGTCGGGAGGGCACGGGTGACTAGAGCCCACCGAAGTGTGACGGCTAGTCCCCTCGGGCTGCCCCGTGATCGGGGGAGGGCTAGGTGCCAAAGCGGCGCTCGTTGCCGAGCCACGCTTGCCCTGACGGCCCTTCTTAGGCTTTGCTCCGGCACAGGAGATATGTTTTAGGGGAACCTTGCCGGAGTGTGCCCTTAGTTTGGGTGTTCCGCCCGAGTTGACCGGAGAAGGTGACCGAGGTCCCCTTAACTGATCGGCGGAACTGCCAACTCCCTCAGCCGACTGTGGCTGAGGGTGCCGGACGAGAGACTGCTGCCGTGGTAACGTCGGAGCGTTAACGGCAGAGTCCCCCGAGAACTCGGTCCGTCCCGTGGGAGAACTATTCCCTCCGGTTAGTGACAGATCGGCCCTCCCCAAACGCTTCATATTTATGAAATAAATGAAACCAAGAAGATGATGAAACTCTTTTATTAAATACTTCTCTTAAACGCAAAAAAGGGTAGTAAATGACGAGGCAAACAGCGAGCTATTTCACGCACGTCCTACCCGACCTGCCGCTAAGAGAAAAGAGGACGCTCACGAGGCACGCATGCCGCGGGGTATTATGGGTAGGGCGCCAGAGGGCGCTATTGTATATAACTCTTAGCGGAAAATACCTGCCGGTAGGGGGAATATGCATAAGTAGTATTGCTCTACAGGTAAGTAGAGTGAAGTAGACTTGACATTTTCAGCAATGATAAAATAGCCACAAATCCATTTGATTTCGACTTCCTTTGGAAAAATTTGACAGTTCCAACTATTTTGGATCATCCATTGATACTATTGGAGGGGTGTTGTACCCTTTTTTGAGTTTTACATCATTTATCAAATAGATTCTGTCCACAAAAAAAAATGTTGTGATGATGAAGAATATAGTTTCGAACAAGGAAATGTTTCAGACTTCATAAAGAGTAGTATTTTTAATTTTAAAATGGTGGAAATGCTGGTAAAGTGTTCTTTTAAAAAAAAGAACATGGTACACCCCTAGACCATAAATGGTGTGATCCACTTTGGTGACATTCTATCCCGTTGCTTGCATGTGTTGTGCTGGACTACACACTGTACATACACAGCAGCTCAACACGTGCGTCAGGTGCTTGTTTTCATTTTCACCAAAGAATGTTTATGGACGTTCTGATAGCAGAAAGTTGTCTGTTTTGGAGGATAAAAGGTGGTGAGATTTTCAAGAAGCGTACGTGAGTTTGGGAGACTTACAGTCACACAACGGCCCGATCGACCAACTGAACACTAAATAAATTTTGCATCACACAATGTGCCATGTATTTTGAAAGTGCGGAGCACTTTTATGGATAATGCGTTGCAAAATGCGATGTGAAAATCAAACAGGGAAAATCGAACACTGCTTACTCGTGTGGGTGCTGAGGGGCTATTTACTGTGGTATAAAATAGATAATATTATAAGGTTTAACAGGAAAGAGAGTCCCGGATGTTGGCTGTTAATTCCTTCCTTCAGTTTTCCAGAGTACTTACTCTTCTTTCATTTATCTTGCATCCCCGTACCTGCAGCGGCTTTTGGCCTTGTTCAGGACAAATATGCTTAAAAACAAGTATCAAAATCCAGCAAAGAATGATCAATGTTATATCTTCCCCCAAACTTTGCCTAAACTTGTGTGAATTTCATCATTATTGGCCCGAGACTTTTGACCTGAAATATCTCTGCTGCTCAATGCCCCTTGTGTCCAAATTGATAGCATTTTGGCAAATACTTGCAAATAAGAGTGATTTGAAAAACATGCAGATATATGGTTATAAATTTACAACTGGTAAGAGTCCCCAACATTCTTTTATTCAACTAAAAAAAAAAGGAATTTGTATCAAAATTATTGATGGTTTGAAATGAACCATTGCTCTGCCAAACATCTTCTTTTTAAATACTTCATCCATTTACAGATCAATACATATTTGTCATTTTGTTTATATATAGACACAGCTGGCACTGAGGCATGCCTTGTGACCTATGCGCTCTGTACACGACAGATTGACAAATATTTTACCAGCATGAATGGACACAAAACATTGAACAGGTAAGTAGAACGATGTCTACTTTGACATACCATGGACATACTACCCCTATAATTGGTGTGTTTCATTCAATTATAACAAATGCAAATGGTATACATTACCTTTAACATAGAACAAAATCAAAGTGAGATATAAATCATTCTTTGTAAGATATAATACTATGGCCCATTTTATGCCTTCTATTATTCTCACCTCTCATGTGTAAGCAGACACTGTGTAATGATCTTTATAACTTGCTGCAAATTGTAACCTGGGAGACAGTTTGGTTTGGTCTCACATCCAGGAATCTCAGACTTCTTCTTGTCCTGACCGTACCTAAAGGTATCAAAACTTTTATTGAGAAATGGCCGCATTTCTTTTTAACAAACAATAAACACTACTGATTTTTCAACTACAGTGAATTTCCCAGCGAACACTTCATGATGTCAACTTTTCATCGCATTCGCACTCACATGAAGGTAGAAACAGCCACAAGGCTTTGTAAATCTGTGACTATTATGTAGATTCTCTGTGACCTTGGCAATACGATAAGTAAACAATACTGACTCCTGCTTAAAAAGAAAGGCATTTAAAAGTGGGGGTGTTTGGGAGGGGGCTTAGGTAGCCACTGTCACTGCGGGTATTTCCATGATGCACACATGCATTATAATTACATGTACAGTACATCTTTTTATCCGCTATCTAATATACAGTCTTAAAGAGGTTGTGGAATGCTCGAAGACATTTCCGTCATTTTTCGGGTATATGTAGCCTAAGGTGTGATGAAATAAAAACGACTATTGTTTCTGTCATGAAATGAGTACAAAAGGTACTTTTGAGAGCTGTTTTTCAGGTCCAGTTTCGACCCGAACGTGCAACTGTGTAAAAGTCGTCGTTGCGGGCAGCAAACAAAACACAGTAAATCGTGACGTAATAAACAGGACTCGTGTATGCTACTGTGCATCGGGAGTCCTGTTTATTACGTCACGATTTACTGTGTTTTGTTTGCTGCCCGCAACGACGACATTTACACAGTTGCACGTTCAGGTCGAAACTGGACCTGAAAAACAGCTCTCAAAAGTACCTTTTGTACTCATTTCATGACAGAAACAATAGTCGTTTTTATTTCATCACACCTTAGGCTACATATACCCGAAAAATGACGGAAATGTCTTCGAGCATTCCACATCCTCTTTAATGTTACGGTCTTCATTCACAAGTACTGTTGCCCATCATCGTTAAGAAAGGGAGTGTTGCAGAACACCAGTGGTAGAGACATTTGAATGAACTGTTGACGATGCCAGACGTCCATGCAGTGTTCAAGCCAGGATGAAATTATAGCATAGGGACATTTGAAATGAGGAGTAATGCGAATGCGCAGCACAAAGCCCTAATGGCATGGGGTCAAGATTTTGGATTCTACTAGATGTTCAGTGGTGCAATCTGAGGCGATTCCTGGCCACTTCCTCTTATTTTTTTGGGCAGAAGTATTTATAACTAGAGTTTGTGGTACAAACACACTGGGTTGGGCTAGCATATGTTTGTATTGATGGCAGGAAATATGACTGCTTAATGAACAGAATATAGTGCCTTTTTGCTTTAATAGTTGATTGTTGATCGTTGATGTTGATTGTTGCTGTCGATTGATTGTTGATGTTGTTAGTTGATATTGATTGATGATTGTTGATGTCGATTGTTGATGATGATTGTTGATGTTGATTGTTGATGTTGATAGTTGATGTTAATTGTTGATGTTGGGTATTGATGTTGATAGGTGATGATGATTGGTGATGTAAATTGTTGATTGTTGATGTTGATTTTTGATTAGTTGATGGTGATTGTTTATTTTAATGCTGATTGTTGATGTTGATGTTGATTTTTGATGTTGATTGTTGACGTTGATTGTTGATTTATAAATACTTTGGAGAGTTGATGGTTTCTGATTGGTCGAGACTCGATCACGTGGCCGTGCATTAACGGTGATATAAAGACCGGCTTCAAAGAACAAAAATGGCCCCTGAACCAGCATTGATCAAGCCCCATGGAAGGCAATGACTGGCCAAATTTACAACAGTCATACAGCAACTTGTAACAATACAGCACTGCACATGCGTTCAACCACCTTCACGTGAGACTGACGCACGCATACGCAACACAGTTGCTATGGGTGCGCGCACGTAATGAAGTTTTAAAACGACTGGACATCGTACATACAGAAGTGCAGTATACTGACGATGTTTACGACGAAAGCCTAGATCTACGATTCATTTTCTTTAAAAACTTAATTTGCCCAACGACATATTTACCTTTCCTAAACCAAGCATCTTTGTAATTCTGGACACAAGGAGTGTCTAAACGAAATTCAGCTTCCTCCATCAGGTAAAAATATGAAAACATTGCTGTAATTTGTTCCGCTACGGCAGCAGAAGTCCAAACCCTGGACGTCGTACACGTACGCAATGAAAACGTTGTCCAGCAATGTCCAGTACAGCCTGGGCCCGGCTGTGGTGTATATAACAATGCTTATCGAAAAGACAGGGTACCACGCATAAGTTAAAATATGGCCCATGAACATGAACACAAAAAAGTCTGGAAATATCGCCGAAAGAAAGTCACAAAATTGGAGCATTTTAACTGTTTATTTCGTTAAAAAGTTATTTATTAATGGGAATAACAGTGTGAGGAGCCGGTCTTCACTGCGTGATAATGACCGGGTTCGGGGGTGACCGCTGTTAATGGACTGAGACGAACAGCGGTCACCCCCAAACCCGTTCATTATCACGCAGTGAAGACCGGCTCTTCACACTGTTATTCCCTTATTATTGATAGTTGATGCTAATGAATAATTATGGATGTTGATTGTTGATGATTGATTGTTGTTGTTGATTGTTAATTGTTGACATTGACTGTTGATTGTTGATGATGATTGGTGTTGTTGAGTGTTGATTGCTGATGCTGATAGGCTAGAACACTACTTCCTTGTCCACTGTTGCTTTGTGCACATTCAAAATAGAATAAATCATGTTTATTGTATTGTAAAAACAAGGATATTCTCCAAAGTCTCACTGTTGAACATACAAAAAAATGAGATGAAAAAAAGGTACCCTTGGGAGACATTTCCATAAACTTGTGCATAAAACTGTTTAAACTTTAATGGCAACTAACCCCAATTTTACCTTATCCTATCCCCACAAATTCTGGTGTGCCCTATCCACGTCTGGGTCTGGTAAACCCAGGGGGTCTGGTGAGCCCCATTGTATTGTATTTCTTTGCCAGTCTGCCAATGTGTCTGGCAATGTTGTGTTGAATAAAGAAGAGCTTTGGAAAAATAACATACAAACATTACAAATCAGGCAATGTTAACAGGACAGTGAAGTACTTATTTACCTTGCACTGATATCTTCAAAGATGAAATTTGACTGAAATAGTGAAGGAGGTAACATCGAGTCCAATCTTGCACCTACAAAGAAATAAATGGTTAATTCTACAGCATTTAGTTTTGCTAGTCCCAGATGGCGAGCCTTGTGTACCTACATTGTACCTCGCAGACTGACAGTCACCTATGAGTAGGACTGGTTATAGACTGATGAAGAGAACTTGGCAGTACTTTGTAGAGGATTACTTTGTAAAGTCCATTGTATGCACTGACTCAAGTCAATGACTCAACTCGAGTCGCAACTATTGGTGCCTTGGCTCAACTTGAGTCCCAAGGGTAAATGACCTGACTTGACTTGAGTCACTGTTAGCAAATAATTTGACTTGACTCAATTCCCCCATAAAAAAACTTGAATCGACTATATGGACCACACCATTTGTAATTTAGGGGTGTTCTTTCATAAGAACATTTTACCAGAATTCCCACTGCTTCAACATTACAAATAATACTTTTTAAAAAGTCCGAAACATTTCCTTGTTTAAAAATATGTTCTTCAACATCACCATATAATTTTTGTAAAGCATGATGCACCCCTTAACATCCAAATGGAATATGTCCATAACATTTCAACAACTTGCTAATTTTTAAAGCTCTGGCAGGAGCTTCTACTTGTCACTTGGTGGTTGGTCAATCTGTCTGTCCCAGGAACATTTACCTAAAATAAGGCCCCTTAAGTTTCCCACAAAAACTTTTGATTGAAATAGAGCAACAGCTACATGTGTGTACACGTAGCATCCCCTGCCCCAGTCATCCTACACATCAGCACTTTGGGTGTTGACATCCCGCTTACTCCTGACAAAGAGCAGAGCATACTGTCATATGTCCCAAACCTGGAGTTTACCCTGGTTCTTTTAAGACCCTCACAAAGTAAAAACAAAGCTCTCCTTTGTTTAACCTTAAACTTAAACCACAACATCTAAAACCCGTGAACTACGCTGTTATAAAACTCCTCTACTCTTCGGGTAAATTCAGAAGCAGTGAAACATTTTCAAACAGTTGCTCAACTTCATACAATAAGTATTGATAGTTGCATGCATTTATGTTGGCTAATGTACCTCCCATACGTCTGTCAATGTGCTAAGAATATTCGCATCCATGTGCATAGATTTGTGACATAGGCCAGTAAGCACAGTTTTGTGATGTCAAAATCTTTAATAAATTAAATAATTTCAATATTTTACCCAATTGTGGTTTCAAGTATTGATCCAACAGGCTAGAATGGATCACATCCACGTTTCTATTGCTGATATTCCACATAAGACTGCACACTCATAAAATTCCCTACTTATTGAAAAATGTATATTATAAGTTATCCCGCGAGCACGAGTGGAACACGGATTAATGTGGGACACGGACGCACTACAGACGCATTCCTTTTTTCCTGTTCCATGAGCGCGAGCGGGATAACAAATTTATCTTCAAGCAAACTTGACGCACACTTAAGATGGAACACGCACACATTGCATCTTAGAAAAGTGTAATACGCGGAGTGCAGTATGGACCGAGGCCGTGCTACATGGTTATATGTAGCACGGCTTGTTGCCATGGATCCACCAATCAGGATTGAGGATCATGGGCGTCGCGAAGGGGGGCAAGGGGGGCACTTGTCCCCCCCCCCCCCCCTGGAAAAGCAACCAAAAAAAAAAAAAAAAAAAAGGAAGAAAATAAAAGAAAAAAGAAAGAAAAGAAAAAGAGGCGTGAAGACAAAGTGGTGTAAATTTAATGAGTGGGGGGGGGGGGCCAAATATCCCTGCCCCTTCTAAAACTGATAAATCGAGAATGTGTTGAGAAACACAAGCATTTTTTGGCAAAATGTTTTTTTGCCCACCTCTAGAAAAAATCCTGGCGACGCCCATGTCGAGGATTCAAGTTTACTTGAAGATAAGTATTATTATACTTGTCCGGGCGTAGGGCCCTCTGTAGTTGGTTTCCATTATGATTCCATGATGATTCGTTTTTAGAAAGGTAAATATACCCAGTATGAGTATATACCATGTCAAGTTTCACCAAGATTGGTAAACGTGTGTGCATGTATATGCAAGATTGACCCGACACCTACCAACCAAAAGGCTAAGAATACCAGAACCTGGATTCAGCAGGACGTGTTTAATTTATTCAAAATGTTTATAAATTTCAATTTGCCAAGACCTAACTCTCAACTTAGCTAAACAGAATTTGGATAATCATAAATTAGATGCTGTGTAACCATTTGAAGGCTTTCAAGGTGAAAAGTAAACTGTCATGTAAATGATGATTAATAATGAGCAATTTTTCAGAAAATATTCAAAATTAACATGTATATATATTTCGTTTGACTGTAGCGCCCACTATAGTTGGTTTCCATGACATACCAAAGTTTTTTTTTAAAACCTATTCATGACGAATAATTGTGGGGAGTGTGATTAAGATCGCTCAACGTCTGCTCAGGTTTTCTTTCTTCCCCTTCCAACCCTATTGTTAAGAAAAAGCATCTAATCTCAATCAAAGGCGGTTCCAATAAGTGGCCTCCTGAGAGAATGCATCCCTAAATTTCCACTGTTGAGGACATGACCAAGATTGAAAAAAATATCGGTGGTGGTGGGTTCTGGGGGAGGGTGGTGGGTTCTGGGGGAGGCAGGTGCAATGGAACCCCCCCCCCCCCAGCCCACAGACCATAGTACACGTATATGGTTACTGAGTTTCAAACACTGTCAAAGAACACGCATATGAATGAAATGAAATGAAAAAAAAAAGGACAAAATAACATCATTTCCCTACCTAACTACCTGGATTTTTTTCCAGGCCATAACCATAAACACAACATTTATTTTATTTGGCCTAACTCAACTCGACTCGACCTCCTTGAACTAATGACTCAACTCGAGTCACTTACTTGACTCGACTCAAGTCACTTATTGAAATGACTCGACTTGACTTGAGTCACAAAAATCAGTGACTCGTTACAACTCTGCTTATTTTGTACACAAGATGCAGGAAAAGATTTCCATGATTACGTGAACTGCCATGACAGGCATGATACACTGCAATTAAGATGCGTTCAACGTCCGCAGATAACAGCATGTTAGCATTAGTTTCAAGTATGAGCCGGCCTTAACACTGACAACAGAAATTGATACTAAATACATTTTTGGAAAATAAAGTTGGGAAGTAATACAAATGATTATTGCTCACTGAAGTTTTGTTTGTAAGTAACTTTGATAACCCTAATATTTTAACACAATTTGTCAAGTAGAAACCATACCCTTGAGGTAGATGAAACAGTGCAAGCAATATGTCAGATGTAGTTAATAGGGGGTAAAGCTTAAAAAATGAGAGCGAGCCGAATGTTGTCACAGTGAACATAGAATGGCCAAATAAGTCACTATTGATGTGTTAACAGTGAGTCAGAGTTGACTTGTGTTCATGTTTAGTGAACTGAAAGATTTCAAGTAGATAGACGTGACCAGTATTAACAGACTGACAATTTGTCTTTGACATTATGCCTTTAATACCACAAACTATGCAATGTGTCAACCCTTAGTCGATGAGTTCATGAATTGAGTACTTCAACTTCACATGTAAATGAGAACTTGACATGATATCAACCAAAAACTAGAGATCTATGTCTGATTGAGAACAGAACCTAGGGCTTTTCCGCATTATGTCTTTTGTGAAAAGCCCACCCTCGCCGCAGACTAACATCGTTGAAAGGAAATTCACATCTTTTACCGATTGGAAACCACAAGGTACTTCCTGTTTCAACCGCATGGAAGGGTCATGTGTACTTGCACATTTTGTCAAAAATGAAGACCCTGGATCATTCTATCAATTCCAGTCAAAAGCAGAATCAGGTCTCTCACAATTGATTTTACATTGATTTTCAAAGATAGATTAAATCTGGAAATCTTTGGTTGCTTGTAATCTGACCCTTGATGATATCGTTGTGACATAAATGAAAGCTCAAGAGCTATGTGAACTATGCTAAAGTAAAGCAAACATGTGGATTATATCTCTCGTAGTTGATTTTTCAACAATTTGTTAAGGTTGAAAGGTCTTTTCATTGTAACTTCCGGTCAGGTGATGTCATCAATCTTTCTTTCCCTTAACTTGTTCTTGGCATAAAGCTGATTATAAATTATACATTAATTATAAAGTGATTTCAGCAACTTTTGCCAATCACACAACTGATCAGTCATTTAAAACGTCTTTCAACCTGCCACTAGAGGGTGCTCTAACATGACGTCATCCATATTTCTTTTGTGAAGTACAACCTAGCCAGAGACTGACATCGTTGAAAGCAAGTTCACATCTTTTTCCTATGTTAAATCATAAAGCAATTCCAGTTTGGACCGGAAGGAAGGGTCATGTGATTTGCACATTAAATCAAAATGAAGACCCTGGATTGTTATGTCCATTCCTGTCCAAAAGCCAACTCAGATCTCTCACTGTGAACTTAATATTGATGTAGAATTCTTTGGTTGATTGTTATCTTATACTTGATGATGTTATCCTGACATCATTCACAGAAGCTTGAGACTTATGTTAACTGTGCTATTTGAAGCAAAAATCTGGATAATATCTGTTGCGATTGATTTTTCAGCATTTTTTTTTTAAGTTTAAAGGTCTTTTTATTGAAACTTACAGGCTGGTGACATCATATGTCTTTCTCCTCCTCAACATTATAAGCATGAAGCTGATTATATACATCAATCCGTCGTGTGCCAAGGAAAAGGACCTTAGCAGCCCAGGCACACAAAATGCACTTGAAAGGTTTTGTGCTCCCATTTCTATATGAAAAATCACATCTGGCTGAAATTTGTGCTCATGAAAGTCGTTAATAATTAAAACAATACTATGCATTTTTTACTTCAAAATATTAAGAGGGGGCATTAGGGCACTGGGAACATTATTTGTTACATTATAATTACATGTTTACAACCTTTTGCCAGGCACAAATAATGAAAAACCTCCTTCCGTCCTTTGTTTACTGTTTATTATGTCAGAATGACATAGCCCCTTGAGACAATGTGTAAAAGATATTTCCA